GTTATGACTCTAAGAACATGTTATGTTAAAAATAGATTAAAGGTTATATGTTAAAAAATTATAAGTAATTCTAAATTTAATACATATAATAATAACAAAGATTACATGTTAAGCTAAATTGTACAGGATTTGTTATGGTTAAAAACTAGGTTCTATTATGAAATTTTTGTAAATACCACAACCATTTAAAATAGGTTGTGTAAAGTTTCATTATGCAAGATTTGCTAACATCACAACCATTAAAAATAGATTATGTTAAAAACACATTATACATGTTATATCAAAATGACCATCTCATTTGATTAATTCATTCACATTGGAGACATAACAACCACTAATATGGAGAAGCGATTTTTCGTCGGTTAAAAATGGAATTTTGTCTTATTTTGTTTGAGTGAGATAAAGAAGTGTATCACTTTTTCCTTTATTTGAACTACCACCCGAAGAGAAAGCTTTAACTCACTTTTCCCTTTATTTGAACTACCACCCGAGAAGAAAGGTTTAACTGGTCAACTGTTCGATCCCCGACAATAACATTTTTTTATATTTTCTTAAAAACACATTACTTTTCCTCTCGGTTGTAAAATACCTGAAATGATATATATATATATATATATATATATATATATATATATATATATATATATATATATATATATATATATATATATATATATATATATATATATATATATATATATATATATATATATATATATATATATATATATATATATATATATATATATATATATATATATATATATATATATATATATATATATATATATATATATATATATATATATATATATATATATATATATATATTTGTTTTATTAAAATATAATTTTTCTTAATTTTATATTATTTTTCGTTTCAATCTACAAATATAAATTTGTTGAAAATTTCTTAAGCTTCTTCATAATCTTCCTTCTAAATTTTGGTGAAAATCAAATGGTGAATTTTGTTGCATACCCATATGTATTCAATATATTCTCAATGGTTTTGAATGCATTTGTTTCTAGTATAAAATTAATAAAAATTATATAAGACAAATAATTTATCATGCTACAAGACAAGAGATTATGTAAGGAACATCAACATTAAACTAATACTTTTTCTGGTCTTGAATTCCATCCTAGAGATTGTTTCCACACTTCTTTAAGTTTTACTATTTTCAATCCAAATATTTTTATTATCAATGTTTGTCTTTCACAACTTAGCATCCAAGATATATAATTATGGCATTCATGTTTTGATTGGCTGATGTGAGTGTTTCACGCGGGTCACTGATGTTTCTCTTGGATTGATGTGTTAGCAATGTCATGAGCATTGCTAATTAATAAATTGACGACAATGATTCGTTTATAAACAAAATGGGGTCACTTTTCCCCTCAAATATTTATGAACACCGAGGTAATAAGTTATTTTTTTAAAAATAAAAATAAAATTAGGATTTTCTCCTCAGTTGTCAACCCACCCGAGGGAATAGATTACGTCTATTGCATACCCAAAAAGAAAATGGTGAAGTTTAAGGAATGTCATCCTTCATTTTTATTTTTGGGTTGCAATATCTTCTCAGTATGATTAAAAATAGGTTCCTTAATATTGTCCGTCAAGGAAAGAATTAAATCATTGTATTTTTATCTTGAATTAATTTCAAATATAAAAATGGATTGAAAGACGTGGAATCAACAACAACAACATCATTATGTGAGATTGATTGCAATAGCGGAAAAATATTTTGTTCAAGATTGGTAAAATTAGTTTCTTCAATGAATGAATGTAACACACACGCGCGCGCACTCATATATACACACACGCGCACGCACGCATGCACACACGCAGACATTGAAATATTTCCAAACTAATTAAGAAACGTTAAATATTTTTGTGTCTTGCAATCTACCTCAAAAAAGAATATTTATGAGTTTGAAACGTCATCATATGATTAAGATTATGGAAAATGTAATGAACAAATACTTTTATAGACAAAACTTAGTAATCTTCCCCCTAGATTGACAGCCTAACCGAAGGAATAAATTACTTAATATTTAAATAAAAAATAAAATTAATAGAATGGCATCGTTATAAAAGAGATAAAAACATAAATTGCTCTTGTTGAGATCAAAATGTGTCTCTTAGTTAGTTTGTCTTCTCGATTATGTGAATCAACTAAGAGAGTAAATGTTATTTTAAATAAAATTAAACGTAACCCGCTCAGGGTATATACCTCAATTTTTTGTATTAAAATTATAGATCTTTTCTTTCTACTGATTTCCCAATTATACACACACGCACATGTGTGTGTGTGTAAGTTTCTAAGAGAATTATGACTATTTTAATACAATTATGACTATTCAAATATAATTATTATGACTATTCTATAGAACTATGAATTTTCTTATAACAATAATATTCTAATAAATAGCAATCATATTCTAATACACCTTTATAGTCGAAATAGGAAGTTGTCGAATATTGGTTGTCGAATAGATAAACAACATTCACATTATCACAATAGACCATAATGGCTATTGTGACTGAGCAACTTTTTCACGTATAAAATGTATATCCATTTCAATGTATTTAGTGCGTTGATGTTGAATTGGGTTGCCGGATAGATAGACAACATTCACATTATCACAATAGACCATAATGGCTATTGTGACTGAGCAGTGTAGTTCTAATAATAAGTTTTTAATCCAACAAGATTCAAATACTACATTAGCAACTCTGCAGTACTCGACTTCTGCACTAGATTGAGAGAGTACTACTACAAAAAAGCTATTTAATAGCGTTTTTTTTTTCTTTTTAATAGCGCTTAAAAGCGCTATTAACCAAGCTGTTATTGTAAAAAAAAAATTTGATAGCGCTTTTCCAAAAGCATTATTATAGTACTGGTATTTAATAGCATTTTTCCAAAAGCACTATTATAAGACACGTATTAGATAGCACTTTCAAACAAAGCGTTATTATAAGACACATATTAGATAGCACTTTTCCATAAAAGTGCTATTATAGTACGTAACTTTAATAGCACTCCCTCTTCAAAACGCTATTGTAGTACACTTTTTTTTTACACAAAATCATTCTTTTGGTGTGTGTGTGTGTGTGTGTGTGTGTGTGTATATATATATATATATATATATATATATATATATATATATATATATATATATATATATATATATATATATATATATATATATATATATATATATATATATATATATATATATATATATATATATATATATATATATATATATATATATATATATATATGGGATTTGCATTTTACGACATTAGAACTCATAAAATAATAATGACTAAGCAGCTAAAATATTTGAAAATGAAATAGAACCACTTATTCAAGAACAAATGTGATACCATGTATATCTACCACTGCCATAATAAACACAGAAGGAATTGTATCTATGTATATAGATCAATCTACACTACATAATAGTGGTAAATGATAACAAACAAATTAACAAATCATATTCAGCATTGATCTCAATGAAATAAAGTTAAAACTTTTTCCACTAGTTATTAATTTGGCTAAGAGTACATCAAACCAAATTCCAAACAAAAAGTAATTCTCTACAAAGACCCTAGAGCCCCACTCAAGCAATTCTTTGCTAGTGTCATCCTTGTGAACAATAACTTCAATGAAACATAAGTTGTCTTTCTTTTGGATCTGCAATAAGAACATCCTAATCTTCTTCATATAGGGATGGAAATAAATGTTCAATGCATCCATTATCAACCTAAAAAATAAGCAATGTCATATTACAGTTGCTGAATGATAGACCAGACAAAAAGATGCAAACCACCACTACTCAATTAACATGTATTGCAAGGATTAAAAAGTCAGTCAAAAGTCAAACTTAACACAATATAAGGCCTACCGTATGGAGATCTTTGACATTCAAAGAAGGGTATGGATAGGATCTTTCAAAATGATGAGGAAATAACTGTGTCCATGTATCATCCCCCATCATAACAACTTTCTTCCCATTTTGAAACAACTGTAGGTAGACAAATATGTATGTAGAATTAGAATTGAGTCTAACTGCCTTGTCGGCAATTCGTATTAACTTGAGTAATATAGAAACAAGGAGCAATTTCAAATTTAAAACTAAACCAATATTTAAAAGCACAAATATTAGAGGCAAGGAAAAATCGAAAAGAAAAACCACCTGATTAATGAAATTATCTTCAACAATAGCAGGTGCACCAAAGCTATTACCAACATCTACAAAAGTTGGAAGTCCACCAGTTGTCAAGCCTTATAGAAAAACCGGATGAAAGCTATTAGCTCAAACAAAGAAACATTTAATCTCCTATTATATCCATAGGAAAGACAGACCCATAATAATATTTTAGTGGAGAACATTACAAATTTAAAAGCTATTTTCATAATTGCATATATATAATCAGCTTAATTTACAGCTTATTATCATATGTAACCGCATATTATAAGCTCTTTCCATAATTGTTTTTGCAAAAGCTATAAACTGCTTTCAAAAACTATCCTGAAGAGTTTATAGAAACAAGTTGAAAACAACTTATGAACATGTCATAGCATGGTTTCATAATGTTCTTATTGCACATCCTTCATCAACACACATCCAAATGCAGGTCCATTACCAATTACAACCTGGTTGGGATGAACGATAGTCGCCTTCTCTTTCATGAGAAGAAGTGAATACCCAACAGAACTGTAGTTGTTGAAAATGGGACCGGCAAACAAGTACGCATCAGCGGATTCCACAATCTCGGAACAAAATGCAGTACTCACAACACCCCAATAAGTACCGATGAAATTAGGATGGTGCTCTGAAACCATTCCTTTTGCCTATGACACCACGGCTAGTGTGTAACCACTCGCATCTGCTAGTTCGACAAAGGCATCAGATGTTTTTGCTACTCTCATTTTCTTATTTAGTTCATAACTTGCTTGTGCATATTGAGAGATAAAGAGAAAGAGATCATACTCCATGTTTGGATGATGAGAACACTGAATGCAGCACGGAGACGATATCGGTTTTTGTTGTGAACATTTTGCTTTTAATGCCAAGGAAACCCTTTAGCTGTTGAAGGCCAATTGTGATGACAGCACCTCCCATAAAACCAACAATAGTAGCATGGGATAGGAAATCAGTCAAAAATCCTAACCTGTTTTTTCGGCATAAAAAAAGAAGAGAACCAACCTAACTATAAGATGATCATGATATGATATGTTAAATAGGGTAACGTTTGTAATACATGTATATCTGGTGTCTGTGTCGGTGTCTGTATCAGTGCTTTGTAGGATATACCTGAAAATCCCAAGAGTTGCTTGTGTAATCCCAGCGAAAAATGTGGCTGTAAAAGCAAGTCTTTGATATTCTTCTTTATGAGCAACCAGATCAATCTCGTTACTAAGCAAAGTCCCCATCAAGAGAGAAACCACAACCACCGGTCATATTGCTATATCGCGAGAACTCCCCATGAATGCATAAATCAGCGGTGGGATAAAGCTTGAGTCTGTAACAAAATTTCGGTTCAACATATAAAATTCCAAAAACAAAACTTCGGATTTGAGACAAGAGTCTTACACAATCCATACTGCGGAGCCAAATGCGCAAACTTCGAGTATCCAATATCCTATTTTTCAAACCAAGTATTAGAACATAAACTATGAAACAACTAACATGAATTATAGTGTATTAGCATCATAATGAAAATTCACCTGACTCAGCATATTCGATGCCAACAAATATTTCAACAGTAACAACAATAACAATAGCAGAGTTTCACCTGTGATGGTTTAATGTAAACAATGAAACATTAACAGAGAACATTGTTATACCAGATAACACAAGATATTCCTCTGCTTCTTCCACGGTAGATAGTTATTCAAACATCAGAAACTATAGAGCTCGATCCTTTCATACTGCAACACCTACAACTTCATCAAAAGCTAGTTAGAATAGTCAACAAGGTTTGTTATCTCACCCAGCAGGTGCTATCTCAGTTAACATAAAAAACCCTTCGAATCCCAACCCTAACAACAACAACAACACGTTTAGAACATCACTTTCCAAACCCATTTGGCTTTTAAGGAGAAAATGTCCTTGCACAGGTAAAAAATCAGTTCAAGTCAAAGAAAAAAGTCAACAGAATTACCCAAAAAATCCTTGCACAGGTAGAAATGTCAGGAAGGTTAGTCCAATTCACTATACATACATCAGTTGCTTTGTGTGATAGCCACTCGCTTGCTCTGCTAAGAAACTCATGATATGCTGCAACAGTGGTGTTGTAGCCTTCTGTAGTATTAGACCTAAAAAATTAATGGCAAATAAAAAAATGGTTGTGAACATTTTTGTAGAATTCATTAAAAACATGAAACAACAGAATTGTTGCATACTTGATGACTACTTCAGCCCTCCAGGTATCATGAAGAGTGGCAATGTTTAAATACAAGCAACAAAACAACTTCTCCTTACTACCTTTGCATTCACTAATTGTAGGTCCGCTATTAGTAATAAAAGCATCACATGGAAATTTTCTACAAGACAAATCAGGAAATTGTGCTTGAAGTAATCTAAAAGCAAGTGACATGCAGAGAGCATAAGCTGAAACATCATACCTAAACTTCAAAGGAAATTTGCAATTTATCATTAGGACGGATGACCATGATTACATGGCAATGAAGGCATAAAAGATCGCAATTTAAAGATCACCTGGTCAGTTTCATCCGGAATGTTGTGAGCTCATCCAACAACAGAACCTTACAAGCTTCTGCTAGAGCACCAGCAATGGCAACCCTCTGCTTTTGGCCACCACTCAGAGTTTGGACAGATCTCTGAACATTGCAACAGAGGGAAAGTTCATTTATTATATGTACAATTCACACATTTGTTTTGGCGTTCAAGTCGAAGTCCATAGTACCTTCATGTAGTCAGCTAAACCGACAACATGTAAAGCTTGGGACACCCTGGATCTGACTTCATCATCGGCCAAATTGATTTTACCAAGACCAAATGCAACATCAGAATCGACTGTAGGCATCACCACCTGTTACAAATGCAATACTATTATACTACACATTTTACAGACTTATTACTATTAATAGACCATACATACACTAATACACCAAAGGCGACTTTCTCTCTCTCTCTGTGTGCAACATGTGCTCTGAAATGTTAATTTGTTGACACCACTTGAATCCCTTCAGTAGCCACTCTTTACTACTGCAATGAAATCACAACGGCAAAGGAAACAACTAATGCTTCAGGGTCGAAGTGTAGCTATCAACATTGCCGATGCGGTAATGAACAGTCCTCGGATGTTTATGGTGCATGCTTGAGAAATCTTTTGGTGAGGAGTGGGTTTACGGTTCACGACGGAACAAAACAAAAAGAAGGCCATAGCTTCGACTCTCCCCTGCAGTTGACATTTGATCGCGATAATGGTTGGTGAAGGTATTCAAGATCACAGTTTTTTGTGAAGGTTTGGGTGAGAGTTGATGGGGGTCAAGAAGATTAACCAGAAGAAAGGTTTTTTGGGCGATGGTTGTCACAGAAGATGAGGAAGAGATTCAGTGGTTTTAAAGAAGAAGAAGAAGGAGAAGGGGGTTTCGTGTGAGGAAGAGAGTGGAAAGGAGAAAAAGAGGAGGGTTCGAATTAGAGGGATGGTAGAGACGATAATGATGGCGATGAAGAGGAAGAAAGGTTTGGATGGTGGAGATGGAGCGGCGATGACTAGGGTTTGGATGGTGGAGATGGAGCGACGATGATAATGGAGACGATGACTAGGGTTTGGTTTTTAATTAATTTTATTATTTATTATATATTTTATAATATAGTCTAATAATAGCGTTTTTTTAAAAGCGCTATTTTAGTGAAAAAATTTAGTAGCGTTTTTTTGAAAAGCGCTACCGTAGTGAAGAATATTAATAGCATTTTAAAAAAGCGCTATCTTAGTGAAGTTTAATAATGCTGTTTAAAAAAATCACATTTTGTTTCCTTTTTAATAGCACTTTTTTGAAAAGCGCTATCTTAGTGAAGAATATTAATAACGTTTTAAAGAAAGCGTTATCTTAGTCAAGTTTAATAATGCTGTGTAAAAAAAATCATATTTTGTTTCCTTTTTAATAGCACTTTCTTTAAAAGCTCTATCTTAGTGAAGAATATTAATAGCGTTTTAAAGAAAGCGCTATCTTAGTGAAGTTTAATAATAGCATTTTTTTACAAAGTGCTATCAAAATCAGTTTGTTTCCTTTTTAATAGCACTTTATTTAAAAGCGCTATTAAATTAGGCGATACAAAATATCAGTTTTGGGGTAGTGGAGGGTGTGTTGGCATTTGGCAGACCATGAGATTAAATTGTCACCAAAATAGACACAGTAATCAAATATGGAACGCCTGGTGTTTTAGTCTAATCTGCATCAGTGTAATAATGTTGGTGCAAAGGTAAAATGAATGATGAAAGGTAGAAATATTCTATTAAGAATGACGGCAGAAAAACATGATTAAAAGTTACAATGATTGTCACCCTATTTATAAGCTAAAACTAGGGTTACTAAAATAAGATAAAATACTAAAATACCCTCTAACAAACTTAGGGGGTAAGGAAAATAGTACAACTAAATAAATATGAATTACTATTAATATTCTAATACCATCCCTTAATTCATATTCCATCAAAACTTGTAACACCAATTCCATCCCTTAGTCTGAGAAATTGATCAGTCTTGATAGCTTTCGTCAGAACATCTGCCAACTGCTTCTGAGTGCTGCAGTGTACAACTTCTAACACTCCACTCTGAACTTGATGTCTCAGAAAATGATACTTGGTCTCAATATGCTTGCTTCTCCCATGCAACACTGGGTTTCTGGCAAGATTGATTGCAGACTTATTGTCAATCATCAACTTCAGAGGTTTGTCTACTTTAATCTTCAAATCCTGCAACAGATTCAGAATCCACACAGCTTGGCATGCAGTAACAGCACCAACAATGTATTCAGCTTCACAGGTTGACAACGCCACAACAGGATGCTTTTTGGAACACCAAGAAATGGAACCTCCTAGAAATTTGAACAAGTACCCAGATGTACTTCTTCTGTCAACTCTGTCTCCACACCAATCAGAGTCTGAATAACTCAGAAGTTCTGACTCATTATTTCCTCCAGAGGGAAATAACACTCCATACTTCAGAGTTCCTTTGATATACCTCAGAATCCTGACAACAGCTTGGTAATGGGACCACTTAGGTTTACTCATGAACCTACTAACCATCCCAACAGAGTAGCAAATATCAGGTCTGGTATTGCACAGATACCTCAGAGAACCAACCAACTGTTTGAAGGTTGTAGCATCCACATCCTTTCCTTCAGAGTCTGAATCCAGTTTCTGATTTGTATCAGAAGGTGTGACAGCCATCTTACAATTCTTCAGATCAAATCTCTTCAGAAGTTCTAATTCATACTTGAGCTGATGCAAAATGATACCTTTCTCAGAGTATCTGAACTCCATCCCTAGAAAGTATGTCATTTTGCCTAGATCAGTCATTTCAAATTCATTCATCAGAACTTTCTTGAACTTGGCTATCTCCTGTTCAGAACTTCCAGTCAATAGTATATCATCAACATATAAACATACCAGAGTCATATTGCCTTCAGAAGTATGCTGAACATAGACACTGTACTCCATCTCACATTTCTGAAAGCATTGCTTCTTGAAAAATGAATCAATCTTCTGATTCCAAGCTCTGGGCGCTTGTTTCAATCCATATAGAGCTTTGTATAATCTGTACACCATCCCTTCCTGATTCTTTTTCACAAATCCAGGAGGTTGTGACACGTAAACTTCTTCTTCTAATGGACCGTTCAGAAATGCAGATTTTACATCTAAATGCATCAGAGGCCAATTCCTGTTAGCAGCTATTGCAATCACCATTCTGATTGTTTCATGTCTTTCTACAGGTGCAAACACTTTAGAATAATCCAGCCCAGGTTTCTGTAGAAATCCTCTGGCTACCAACCTTGCTTTATGTTTGCCAATTGAACCATTTGGCTTTAACTTCTGCTTGAAAACCCATCTGACGCTGATGGCTTTCTTGTCTTTTGGAAGTTCTGTCAGCTTCTAAGTCTTGTTTCTCTCTATAGCATCAAGTTCTTCTTTCATGGCCTTCATCCAGAGCTTCTGCTTAAGAGCCTCTTCTGTACTTATGGGTTCAGAGTCTACTAACATGACACACTGAATAACTTCTCCTTCAGAGTCTACTTCAGTGTCTTGCAACATGTCAAATTCTGCAAATCTTCTGGGAACACTTCTGATTCTTTGTGGTCTCTGAACTTGTTCAGAGTCTTGAGCTTCAGATGATTGACTTTCTCCAGAGCTTTGACCAACTTCAGGGTCTGGCATATTTCCAGAGTCTTGAACTTCAGAATT